CTGGGTGCCCTGAACCTCCCCACAAAAAAGTAATCCCATAAAGGGAGAAGGGGAAACAGGAGGCCTGGGGTAGCGGGCGGGGGATGGCAGCAGAAGGTGAGTATGGCTAGAAAGGGCCTGGCAAAGCCACCCCACAGACGAGCTGCTTCTGTGAGCTGCATGTGGAGGGTTCTTGGCACAACAGGGGCGCCAGGAGCCATTCCCTTGGCTCTCCCTCCAGCTGGAAGCTGTGTGCTGCCTCAGGAGAATGTCTGACAAGGACAAACTTTTTAACTGCGCATTTAAAGTGCATTTACAATATGTTCATAAAGCAGCAACACCGTTTCTTAATAAGCAAGTTGGCTTGCAAAACTGCGAGCTAGGTGTTAGCAACGCAAACTAGAGCATCAGCTCCACCTCCTGGCCAAAATCTGTATTTCTGCAAAAAAAAAAAAAAACTTCAAGAAATGCTAATAGAAAAGTGGCCTGAGAACTAATCAGGCATGCGAATCCCTCTCTGTTCAATTCAATTATGTCCCTCTTCCTAAATCATCTTTTTTTATTTAACAAAACTCTAAACTGCCACAGCTAATAAGCTCAGACGAATCAGTGTAAACCATTCATTTCTGGGAACAGGCCGATATTTTCTAAGACCCATTAATAACTATGACAGGATTTATGTACAAGATAAATTCAATTCAATTTCCTTTTTCAATTAATGGCCAATTATTCGAACTCAGCTCAACCAAAAATATTACTCAAATATCATTAATCTAGCAAAAATTAACTTTACTATTCCCTAAGTAATGAGGGCATCATTTTAAAGGTAAAATAACGCACTTTATTTAATAAAATGTTGTCTTTGTTTTCAGGGCTGCCGCTTGCCGCTGGAGCCCTCCCAGCCCGGGGACCTGGAGAGGACAAGCGCCACATCCAAGTCCGCTGGATCCAGCCAAGGGCACCCGGCTGTAGCCAGCCCCGTCTAGGGGCCATTTCACATCTGGAAGCCGCCTGGAGACACAGCGAGCGAAGCACCAGGAACGACGGTTCCTTAACGCCGCCCGCCCCGGCCAGCGGCGCCGGCCCCGCTGCCCTCCCGCTCCCCAGCGCGTCCATGCGGCCCCGAGGCCGCCACTGCAGCCGCAGGGTCCCGAGGGCCGGGATGCCCCGCGTTCCTGGCAGGAATCTGGCCCCAGGGCCGGGCTGCCCCCGGCTCCTCGCTGGGAATCCGGCCTGGAGCACATTGCTCACATGGGGCTGGCCAGGCCGCCCCAGCCCCGCTCAGTGCAGTTGTAGCTGCTTCGGCTAGAGCACGAAATTGCTATTAACAACCTGCCTTTGCCCATTTCCGGGTGGTTATGGAGAGAAGTTTCATTTCTGTAATTATCCTAATAAAACGTGAACTCTGGGAGAAGGAGACCATGAGCCAGGAGCTTTATCCTTTCCACCTATTCACAACAGCCATGCTGAAGTGTTTCTCCTTTGTAAGGAGCTATTGCTACTCAGCCACTTCTTCCTCATGTCAAAAACCCTTGGTTCCCAACACACCTTCATTTTTTAATTGGAAAGAAAATATGCTACGTAATGAACAAATTACAGTGCAGTACAGCTTTACTGGGAGGAACTAACCAAAAGTTCAGCACATCTAAAGCACAACCCAACAGTATTTTCTTCATTTCTTCATTTTTTTTCTTTTCTTTTCTTTTTCTTTTTTTTTTTTTAAGGGGGGGGGGGGGGGGAAACAATTTTAAAAGGGGGTTTTTTTTTTTTTTCCTTTTTTTTTTTTTTAATAAATCTATTCTGAGAAGTAGGGCTTCTCTCTTACTGAGCAGTACCAAATTCCACAAGTGAGCCCGTACCCGCAGCAGCCAGCGCAGGTCTCAGCGCCGGCCGCGGGGCTGCGGGATCTCAGAGCTGCAGTTAAGGCCTTCTCAGGCTCTGAGCCGCGGTGCCAGCAGCAAACGCCTGTTCGAAGCTTTGCAGGGGTTTCCTCATCTGCCCTTAACGACGGGAAAAGTAATGCACACGCTAGGCAGCATAAAGCCTTAATTGAATACTACACAAAACAACAGATACTGTGCACCAAGCAACACTAGCCCTAATCCAGTTATAATAAGAAGTTTGTCACTGATTACATTCAGATGTTTTAATATTAAAATAATTACGGATTTGTTGAGAGCATGTTGAAATCAAGACACGATGTGCATCCTAGAAGAGGGGCAGTGACAGCTCTTATTCCAGAGCACAAGCAGCTTATTCAGAATCAATTTAATCCATCCAAGAAGCATCCACAGCTGAACAGTTCATCAAATCCCACTATTTTTGAGTAACTCTACACAGAGAGGCATTGAGACTTACACTATATTTCATGTAAGGTCTAAATAGAGTACAATAAAACTACCAGAGAAGGTAAGTACTGAGAAGGAGCTGCAAAAACCAACACAAATGTAATGACTTGCTTTGCTAATAGCGAGGTGTGTTGGCAACGCCTACAAATAAATACGGTGATTGCACTGAATTTCTCAGCTTCCCAGGCAGCGACCTGTGAGTTGGCCGACGCTGCCTCCCCTCGTCACCCAGCCCGCGGTCCCCAGTAGAGTCAGGACCCGCACGCTGCCCTCACGGCTCCCTGCACAGCTCAGCCCCGGCGCCGCGGGCAGGATTGCACTGCCAGGACGGCCTGGCAGGGTCCAAACATCCTGCTGGGCTGCAGGGACTCGGGGGGCTGCAGGAGGGCTGCGAGCAGCCAGGCCCAGCCAGGCTCCGGCCACTGCTCAGCCCCACGGACTGTTGTGGCTGCTGTCAGCACGGTCCTAGCTGGACAAGATCCAACACGCGGCTCCATCTCCATCGAGCAGAAAACCAGCAGGGAACAGGACTACAGCTGTGAGCCTCATCACGGCCGAACCCAGCCCGTTTCACTCCATTGGCTGCACGGGACCATAAATGACAAAACGCTCAGCACTAAACGGCTCGTGCCTGCAATGAGCCATTCCGCTTCTCACATGTAGTGAGTTATTGCAGCCTTTAAAGTCAAATCACTCCACAAGGGACACTTTGCTAACACGCCACTTTTTATTTTACAGCAGTCATGAAAAACACACTTCCCTTGTGCTGCCGGGAGGGGCTGCACGTTGATGGGACAGGTTACGGAAAACGTTTTCTTGGAGCTCGTCGTCAGTCCTAACACAACGGAGCTGTGCAGCAAACCCGGGTTTCGCCTCGCAGGAAGCGAGCCGGGAAGGCTCGGCAGAAGAAACGCTGCCGGAGCCGCTGGAAAGGGGGTATTGGAGCAGCGGGGAGAGGTCAGCCCAACTGCTGCTACTCGGGCCTTCATGTTTCTAAGAAAACAGCATTTTACAACAGCATATGTGATAAACTTTCATATTTCAAGTACAGAGAAGTAATAATGTAATAATTATAGGCATAGCATCTGCTGCCAAATCCATGCCTTAGAAGGGATGGAAAAAACACAGAAGTTGAAGAACTTTGCAGTGAAAGAGAATTAATGAGGGAATGGGGAGATGCGTAACATCAAGTGAGTACTCGCGAACCACGCTGAAGATGAGAATAAAACTTTACCCTAAATGGACACAACACGGCGGTGAAATCCCCATTCAGATCATTTCTCACTGCCAACACAGAGGCACTTGCAGGGTGCACAGAGGAGCCAAGGTGCTGCCAGTGCCAATCGCGCTGGGGAACGAGGCTTGGATTCAACACAGCAGTCTCGGGAGCTCGTATGAGACCACCAGCTTTGTGTGCCAATAAGCTGACCAAGCCACAAGTCCGAGCAGCTCAGCATGAAGGTGCCTCTCACCCACCCTCTCCTTGGGATTTTCTGGCTCTGATTCTAGCCACTGTTACTAAAAAGCAAACAAATAGACAAATGTATAAAATATTCCTCCAGTACCAAGTATTTTCCCTGATGATGGCAATATAAAGAATAACTAAATAACATCTCCCTATCCTCTGTAATTTTTCCCTTTTTTCACACCAAACTGCCTCAGCTCCTAAAGATTCTTCAGGCCTGGGGGGAGCGATGCGCAGAGCGCAGTGTTTCCATCGTTCTCCTCCAGCACCTCCACCGGGCAGCGCTCCTCCTGCAGCGCGCTCCTCCTGCAGCG